CGTCCGTGCCCTCCGTCTCGTCGAAGGTCACCACGGCGTCGTCTGCGTCCAGCTGGAGGGACAGGAGAGGGCGTGAGGTGGGACGGGGACAGGGACGGGGGTGAGGATGGGGACAGGGAAGGGATGGGGAGGGGTCAGCAATGGGGACAGGATTGAGGACAGGGACAGTGACAGTGATGGAGACAGGGATGAGGGCTGGGATGGAACTGGGGACAGGGATGGGGGCAGGAATGGGGCTGGGGACAGGGATGAAGATGAGGATGAGGGAAAGGACAGGGATGAGGATGGGGACAGGGATGAGGATAAGGACAGGGTTGGGGATGGGGATGACGATGGGGATGAGGATGGGAATGGGGATGAGGATGAGGACAGGGATGGGGCTGGGTATGGGGACAGAGGTGGGGATGAGGGTGAGGATGGGGTTGGGGATGAGGATGAGGACAAGGAAGGGGACAGGGACGAGCACAGGGACAGGTCAGCACTGTGGTGGCTCCCAGCCCACGCCGGGGCTACGTACACATTTGAGCTCCATGTCCCGGAAGATCCTGGGCAGCAGGAAGCGCCGCAGGGGCACGGTGAGGATGAGGACGAAGGGTAGCGCCAACGAGGCTGGGGTGGACTTCACCACCCACAGCAGGACGAGGACGACAATCTGGGTGAAGGTGAAGAGGTGCATCCGCCAAGTCTTCACCTGTGGGACGAGGAGCCCAGGGGGGTTCAGGGGGGTGGGTCCAGCACTCCACCACCCTTCCCAGGGTGCTGGGTGCTGGTGGGGGGGCAGGACCAGTGGCCCCAAGAACCCAGCGAAGGTCAGCACCGAAGGAGGAGGCTATTTGGGGAGCCCCAAGCAATTACAGGCAGCACCACGGGGTGCTGCAGCCCAGGACACCCCCAGGCCACCCAGGGCTCACTCACCCGGGTGACGTAGGGCTCTTTGGGGTGGTACTTGGGTGGCATCAGCAAGAGCAGGATGCGGTCGAAGAGCTGGATGCCAAAAAGGGAGGTGACGCCCATGTAGAGGAAGATGCCGAAGAGCACGGCCAGCGGGATATGCTTCAGGATGGGCTCCATGAGGATGGAGACGCCTGCGGTGGAGAAGGAGGGGTCAAGGAGAGCTTGCTGGGGGGAGCCAGCGCTCGCCGCCCAGGTTGGGGGGCACGTCCCCAGCTCACCGATGAGCACGGCCACCAACAAGCCGCTGATGCGTTGTTCCTTGACCTCCACGATCTGGGACTTGTCTCCGGGAGCGGTGGCCTTGCTCATGACAGTGAGGGCGTTGGCGTGGGTGATGGTGCGGACGGTGGTGGCGCTGAGCCAGGGCATGCCGAAAAGGGCCGCCAGGCCCCCCATGGCCACGATCAGCAGCAGGTCCAGGTGGAAGCCAGAGCCCTTCACCAGTTTCCTCTCAGGTTTGCTGACGATGAGGCTGCCGGGGACAGAGGAGGAAGAGTCGGTGGTGAGAGGTCCCCTTCCATCCCTGTCCTGCCAGGCACCCCGCAGCCCTCCCCTCCCTCCCTGTACCACACCCCCCGCCCTCCTCACGTGGTGATCTGTGTCTCGAGGAAGATGAGGATGAAGACCAGGATAGCGGGTAGCACGGAGGCGAACATCATCCAGATGGGGAAGTCATTGTTGCTCCCCATGGGGTTGATAAACCAGTCCCGGGCAGACGAGTTGGTGACCTCCAGCCCTTTGGGGACGTTCAGTTTCTGGATGGGAGCAGAGAGGGGGGAGTGAGGGGACAGGGCACAGAGACGAGCACTCCCTGTCCCCTTGTTGGGGACAGCCAGCCCTGCCCTCCCGCTGCTCCCGGACCTGTGTGTACGTGTCCTTGATGAAGAAGTCGGCCAACGTCATGATGAAGATGGAGATGGGCACCCCGAAATCCCCGATCAAGCGCCGGGCCTGTAGGGACACCGTGACCACGTTAAACCTGTCTGTGGCTCCACCCAGCCCAGGGGGTCCCCACCCAGCCAAGGGGATCCCCACCCAGCCAAGGGGACCCCACACCATATCCCCACAGGCAGCAAGCTCAAGCAAAGACCTTTGCAGGAGCATGTGATGAGTCTGCACGGTCTCAGCCAGCCCCTTTCAGTTAACAGCACCTGCCAAGCGCCTGCTTTGGCCTCAGCGCTGACCCTGGGTCCAGGGAGGTGTTGGGGGGATAGGGGGGACCTCACCTTGCCAGGCAGGAAGGCGCTGTTCTTGAACTTGCGGAGGAAGATGGCCAGGAAGAAGGTGCCAGCCATGAGGACGAGGGACAGCAGCGCCGTGTTGGGCTGCGGCACCTTGGGCTGGACCGTGGGCTCCACGTTGTCATAAATTTGTTTTAGCGGGTGGTTTTTGAAGATCTGGGGAGGGAAGAGGAGAAGGTCAGGCAGGATGGGATCCCTGCTTAGTGGGTGGGGATGGGGGATCCCCAGCCCATCCAGGCTGGGAGCCTGGCACACGGCGAGCAGGGGGGTATTTTTAGGTCTGGTTTTCTCTGTGCTCCTTCAGAAATGGGGCTGGAGCAGGGGCTGGGTGGCACGGTGGGGAGGGATGACCGTGGCCCTGCTGTGGACTAGGCATCACCCAGGGTGTGTGGGGCCGCGCTGAGCTCGTGGAGGGGTGCACAGGGACACCTCGGTGTGATGGGGGTCCAGGGTGTGGTGGCGTATGTGCCCTCTCCTGCACCAGAGATGTCCCTGTGGGCACCCAGTGCATGGGGTGACACCGTCCCATTGCTACTGGCCAGCTGGGAAGGGTCTGAGCCAGGGGATGGGAGAAGAAATTGGGGTTCTCTGGGCAGTTCCTGGGCAAGGACCATGTTTGCTGCCGGCCAGGTGCGACCTGGGCCTGGGCTTCACCTCCCTGCCCCAAAATCCCCCTGTGGAAAAAAGCACGAGCTGGGAAACACCTGGGAAGGGGGAAAAAATGCTGGGAGACGGGCTCCATCCCTCGCCTGCATCCCTCTCCTGGCTCCCACTGCTTCTATGGAAACCCAAGGGATGACCACAATCTGCAGCACACCCCACACACCCCCAAATCTTCCCCGCCGCAGGACCCCTGCGCCCCTCACCGTGACGAGCTTGGAGAAGGTCTCGTAGATGAAGATGAGGGAGATGAGGAAGGAGAAGATCTCCTGGGTGTAGCGGGACAGGTAGCGCACCAGGAAGCTGGCCTCGCAGGCCACCACCACCAGCACCAGCAGGATCAGCCAGAAGCCGATCCAGACCCGGCCCACGATGTACTCCATGCCATGGCTGCTGCAGAACTGGGGAGCCAGAGGGGACAGCCCCGTCAGCCCCCAGAGCCCCCGGCATGGGCACCCAGGGGTGGGCTTGAGCTCATGGGTGCCACAGTGGCCCTGCACCTCCTGCCTGGGAGCTTGGGGGTGCTGGGATCCCAGAATCCCAGAATCATCCAGGTTGGAAAAGCCCTTGCAGCTCCTCCAGCCCAACCATGACCGTCCCCCTGACCCTTCCCAACTCCCCCAGATCATCAGCGCTGGCTCAGCCCGACTCTTCAACCCCCCCAGGGATCCCGGGGACTCCCCCCCTGCCCTGGGCAGCCCATTCCAACGCCCAACAGCCCCTTCTGCACAGAAATCCTTCCTCAGAGCCAGCCTGACCCTGCCCTGGGCTGCTTGAGGCTGCTTGTGTAATGGGGGGGCTAGTGAGGTGCTGGGATGGCGATGGCAGTACCCCAGTCTGGCAGCACCCACCTGGCGTGGTGTCACCCACGTGGCATCAGCTATTTGGCATCACCCACGTGGCATCACCTTACATCACCCCTGTGCCACCCCCCCGATGGGTGACATCCCCTATGTGCCGTCCCCGCGCGGCCTCACCCCTGCCCCGTCTCCCATGTGACGTCCCCACCAGTGCCATCCCCTGTGCTACACCCCCCCCCTCAACATCCCCTCGTGGCAGCACCCCCGTGTCTCTGCCAGGGCGGGTGGGGACACCACGAGCCCACTGTGGCAACCACCG